ACGCGGGAAGTAGGAGCAGGAGGTTCTCTTTAGGTATGTCTATTTTACCACACGAGTAATGTATAAAAAATAAAATATATTTTAACAAAAACTCTTGAAACTATTTAACACTATGTATAAAATACAAAATCTTCTATTTCTTCACGCTTGCTTTATAATTTGTTCTTCACCCTTTCACCGCTTCCACTCGACTCGCTTTGACTAACTGACACTCGGCCGCTACTCCTTCTGAAACAAACGTTAAGAAAAGGTGGTGCTGGAGTTCCCTCCTGTGCACACCTGCCACTTCCGGGGTTCGTCGGCATCCCGGAAACTTTGACTGGTCGCGGTGGACGCCGCCACAAATATGTAGCGCATTGCTACAAGACGTGTTCTTCTTTACCTACCCAACCGGGAAGTAGGAGCAGGAGGTTCTCTTTGGATATTGATTTTAACGCACGAGTACAGTAATGTACACATAAGTGTCCGCAGTTGAGACCGAATGCGGACGCTTCAGTAGGGAGGTGACTTCTGCGAATTTAACTAAACAAAAGAGAGGAGATGTGCTGAGTGGGATACCGATACCCGGCACGTGCGAGTGCGGTAGTATCAAGTGTCAGTTGTTCACATTCAGGAGTCGATTTCGAATACTTTGTACAATATTATTCACGATAGCTGATAATAGTTCTGTTTCCAGTAAACAAATTAGTATAGAAAAATGTGTAAGAAATGCGAGATTTCGGTGGCGAAGTGGTGGCCTGGACTTTGTCATCCAGAAAGAGAAAGGAAGAGAATTAAGCCCTTTCTCCGGAAAGTCGAACGAAGGGACTCCTGCAACGCAGGATAGGACGCGGAGAGGACACTCTTAATATAGCCGTCGAGCGAGATGGAGACCCGAGTACCTTAGCAGCCGCTTAATTTATAAAATAATACATTTTGGTTAATAGCCTAAAGAAACTCGTGCAAGTATTAATGATCTGGCACGGGAATCCAATGTGACTGACAGAAGCATACGTAGAATTCGACAAAATGCTTTGTCGATACGACAATTTGCAGAGAATAGTCAACATTTAACAAGGAAAAAGACTGTACAGTTGGTTTTTGCAAAGATGCTTGTAATAGAAATAGGCGATATCGGGACCGAGGACTACGACGCCACGAGCATCGTCAACCAACTCTCGAGGCCCTTGGCGACGCACATTTGGCAACGGCGGGAAAAAGGAGCTTTCCAAGTCAGAAAGCCGGTCTTGATTAGAGAGTCGTACGGTGACGATCTAAGTAAGTTACCCCACGCAGTCTTCAATAAAACCATTTCTATAAAATACGCCTTCAATTTCTCAATTCTTTTTACCCGCTGTTTAGGAGACAGAATCACAGATAACATTCTATTAGAAAAAGCAAAAGAATTGCAAGAAGAAAGTGGTCCTTCTAATTTTACACCAAACCGAGGTTGGCTGTGGCGTTTTAAAAAAAGTTACAACTTACGCCTCGTCAATATTTATGGCGAAAGTGCTGAGGAGATGATTATCGAGCAGTTTTCACAAATCTTAGAAGAAAGTGAAATTAGTGAAAATGATCTGTATAATATGGCTCATATATCATAAGCTTGTTTTGGAAAATGCTTCCAAATAAAACATTAGTAATTGCCAAAAGTAAAGATAGGATTACTTTAGGTTTATGTACAAATGCAAGTGGAAACCATAAATTGCCCCCAATTTTTATCACAAAATATGAGAATCCAAGGGCATTAAAACATTGTAAAAATAATTTGCCTATGATGAATAATACAATCTTCCTGTCATGGTATGAAAATGAATTTAAAGTGCGTGTAAGGCGAGGTAAGGTTTTACTGATACTCGACAATTTTAGTGGGCACAAAGTATCAGATAATCAAATGGATGACGATCAATTCAAAATAATGTTTCTACCGCCGAATATCTCTTCCCTGATCCAACCTTGTTGGCAATACACCTACACCTCAGTTCAGTTTCCCTTTTACCAACCATCGAGACGTAACCGCCAAACCGCTGCCGCAGGGCCAGTTAACGCATAAAACGATTGTATTTTCTGGGCGAATTGTACACCTACCATCACACTTATGTATATCTTAATAAATTGAGGTGAAAACAGTGTAACGGCGTTTCCTCACCCACCTCAGTGTCATAAATTACACTATTATCCATACCGTATTATAAATGGGAAAGTTTGGCTATTTTGCGATTACGATATAGCAACGATTTATTTTTTATATATCGTCTAAAACAGTAAAAGTGGCTGTGCAGTAAAGTGAGTTCACCGACCCGGCCGTAACATCAGCTGTTGAGGGTTGCCTTGAAAGGTCAGGATCGGCACAATGACCCACTTCCGTCGAAGCAGGTTAATTCGTGGACGAATGGATAAGTTTTTCATAAGTAATAAAACACTTTATTCCTTTCGGATAACGAATAAAAGTACCTATCAAAAACAGTTATTAATTTCTCAAAATTAGTAAAAGCATTTAATTTGAATAAATGGTAGTATCTGTAAAATTTTCACCTAATGCATCACACAGCATATTTAAATAGTTTTATTTCTAACTATTGACATATTATTTATGCATATTGCAATGTGTTGTATTAGAATAAAAAATTCTTTTTCGGAATTCAACGTGTTAAACGACTTATTAGTTTATTTGTTATTCATGAATAACGAATAATTCCAGATTATTCTTAATTTAAGACGATGTAACATTTGCCGCACGCTTCCCTCGATACCCACGCTGTGCCAATGCATTTGTTCACGATCGCGTGCGGATGAGTCTCTGCGCTCCCGTGCCTGGGCGCGGGCTCTATGCGCGTTCTGATTGGCCAGTGTTTTTCGTTAATAACTCAAAAACGAAGCTTCAACCAACGTTTTGGTAAAGGAAAAAGTTGTTCAGAGTCACCCCAGCAACCCCCCATTTCCGGGTGTTACACTCTTTACAGGACACCCTGTATAAGGCAGAAGCAGTTACAAATTTTTTATCACCCTCAGGTCGTTTTGTTTCAGTGTGCAATAGCCAAAAGTATGCGCGCACGGCGCCACATTGTATTAGGTCATCCCATAAGTTCGTGCCGTTTTTCGAGCGGTTATATATGTTAAGATTGTTTACATACCTTTCAGTTTCATGAAAAAACGTAATCCCCCTCTCGTTGTACAACTTCTTCCCATTTTTCTGGTAGGGCCATTATTCCGTCTCGATAAAAGTTCTCTTGTTTTTCTTTAAAATAATTTTCTAAGCTATTTTTGAGAATGTCAATATTTTCAAATTTTTTACCTACTAAAAAGTGTTGTAATGCTCTGAACAGGTGGTAATCAGATGGGGCAATGTCTGGGGAATATGGGGGATGTGGTAAAATTTCCCAATTAAATTCAGACAATTTTTTTGTAACGCTTTTCGCGACATGCGGTCTAGCGTTGTCGTGATGGAAGATAACGTTGTTCCTATTCACTAAACCTGGTCGTTTTTCAGCTAGTGCTTCCCTTAATTTTTCTAACTGAGTGCAATATTTGTCTGAATTAATGGTATCACCACTAGATAAAAGTTCAAAATAGAGTATTCCTTTATAATCCCACCATACACACAAAAGAACTTTACGTGGATGTAACCCTGGTTTTGCACAGCGTTGAGGTGGCTGATTTCGTTGGGACCAGCTACGTTTCCGTTCAGGGTTTTCGTAAAGTATCCACTTTTCATCACCAGTTACCAGGCGTTTAAGGAATGGCTCATGTTTATTACGCGCAAGTAATGACATGCACGCTGTCGTTCGTTCAAGACGGTTCCGTTCCGTAAGTTCATGGGGCACCCAAACGTTCAACTTTGACACCATCCCCATTTTTTTTAAACACCTATGAATCGTTGTCTTAGGTATTTTCAGAACATTTGACATCTCTTGAACTGTCAAACTTCGTGATTTTTCAACAAGATCCCGAATTTTATCTTCGTCTGTCTGAGGAGGACGCCCGGAGCGTTCCTCGTCTTCTAAACAGAAATTCCCAGCTCTAAAACGTTGGAACCACTTCCTACAGGTGCGAGATGAAAGCGCATTTTCTCCGTAAACAGCACATATGTTTTTCGTGCAATTGTTACAGAACTTCCTTTCCGAAATTCATATAACATGAGATGTCGAAAATGGATACGCATTTCACTCATGATTTTTTACTGTTAGAAGTCACTGTGTTCACTATACTACGATCTTATACCCACGAAAATCTGCTCTAGACTGTTCTCGATCAGCTAAGCTCAAGTGCATTGGTCCCTTATCGCCGTATGTTTATAAATCGACACATGAAATGTATACACAAAAGTCGGCACGAACTTATGGGATGACCTAATATATACAATCTAAACGTCGAGACACCCAAATGACACGCAACGGACGTGTCACTCGTCGGCGTCGATACCGATGGCTGCTCTCAGAAAGCGGAGAGGCACTTAAGATCCGTTCCGAGGGCAGCCAAAATCCCGATTGACGTTTCGAAAGGCAGTCAACTGCCGAAAACTGCATGAGCAACATCGACCAGCGTTACAAGACATTCCATCCCGCCTTTTCAATAAAAGATTCAAACGCGCTCACGTGTACGTTTATTCCCCCCGTCGCCCACAATGTCATATAACAGCATCACAAAATGTGAACAAAAATGTCACGATATCATGATAGCAAATGTTATGATTTTAATGTTATATGAAAACGTACGTACCTTAAGTCTCACCTGAAGCTTAATTTTTGCTTTGCCGATCTGTAACTTGAGCATACAAATATTAGCAGATAAGTTTGATGATAGATTCAATACAAAGTGACTGGATATTAAAAAATACGTTTTTCAAATAAATACATTTTAATTAACAGTTCTTATTTTACATTCGAACAATGGATAATGCGATGAACATGAATTATCCAATAAGAAGAAGGAACTCCAAAAAACAAGATTTCTGTTCTCTTCTTGAATTATTATACACTACTAAAATTCAAAAGCTTAATGCTAGAAGTTTCTTTGTCGTGTACTCTCTGTGCGTTTGTTTTATCAACTCCTCTGACAAAGTAAATTTATTGCCAAAAGAGTAGTAAACTGAATGGACAGATAAATATATTTCCATTGTTGTAACCAATAAATGTAACGTCAAAGTGTAATTACACTTTCACGGCCTGCTCCCACTCCAATCCACTTAACTGAAACATTAATAATTTTTATGCAATTTGTAATTTATCTTACTGGAATATAAATATCAACTGATAATTATAAACTACTAATTTAATCTTTGAAAATTATGATTTATATAAATAACTATAGAATTAGTATCATATACAATCATAAGTTTTCCACTACGGTGCATGTTTTTTCAGTTTGAAGAAAAGAAATTATGCTTACTGTAAACGATACTCAGGAAGTATAAATTATAGTATTAATAAACAAAGTGTATAAATTACTGACAAGGGAGGGTCAGCACTGATTTGAATGAAACTTGTAGGCTTGCAGAACAACCAAAAATAATAGATACGTATATTCTTTTTAGCTGTGATAATACAAGTTTAAAGAGTGAAACTACCCTCCTCCAAAGTTTAACCCCAAAATACTAACTAGAGATAGAAGAAAGTGTTTTGACAAAAATTGAATGGATTTTAACATATTAGAAGACGATGCTTAAGGTAACAAAACATTTTTAAAAATGATGAAAAAAATGTATACGCCATGTATATTTAAAAAGTTAGTGCAATTATTCATTCGTTCATTTATTGCAACAATGACATAACTAAAAATTTTCAGTTTTTGAGAATATGTAATATAATTTGAAGTACACGTGTAAGCAATATAGTTTTATTCTGCAGTTATATATACAATTGTATGAAACTTATTGTAAAACCAATTGAAACATAAATTTATACTACAGGGAAGAAAGAATGAAGTTGTTCTCTGCGTTTTGGCAGTAAAGTAACATAGAAAAGCAGAAATAAATTATTTCAAATAGTGTGCAAACTGTTGAACCAAAATACCAGTACCTTTGCGTAGCTGGTGTGAGAAACCAAAGACAATATAATAATGTATTTCTTTTAAATCGTTTACGCAAATTTACGTTTCCTGAATTTATTTATAACAAGCATGCTTACAAATACAACGACTCGGAACACGAGAGTAACAATTTAATTTAAAGCGAGACTTAAGGGTGTATGCTCAGTCAGGAAGTGGAAAAAACGTGATATTTGCGAATTTGTTTGGAAGAAACTTGTAAACTTTTTACGATATATCTTGCCGTATCTGAAAGACTATATTTTTAAGCAACTATCATAATTTTTTCATTAACAAATATTAATAATTGTTGAAGGCCTCTTTCCTGAATGTCCTTTCTTTAAATGGGTTTTGCAGTGACCACTGCTGCTCGTATCAGGCTTATCGAAAATCAATAATTCGAAAAAATTTAGTTTTTATATTAAATTATCTAGTCTTTGAACGAAGGGCGTTTCAAAATAATTGATTTGCAACAAAATGGCAGCCGTTCAAAGTCAAGGTATCAGTTTTCAAAATAAAAAACGCTCGATTTCCGTCAATTAAAAAAAATACTTGCCATCGAAACAAAAAATCCTTCGTTCAAGGACTAGTTTTCTATCTCTACAATAAGCCTGCAAAATTTGAAGTAAATCGATACAGTGATTTTTGAAATATCTCGGTCACCGATTTGGAAAATGTGGTTCTGAGAAAAACGCGTTTAAAGTTTCATATTGAGTATGCACGTGAACAAAATGTTAATTTTTGAACTCGCATAGCTCCGTAGATTCCAAATCGAATCAACTTGAAACTTTCAGGAAATATTTTCGAGATGATATGCTTGAAGAAAGTGTGAAAACACAAAAATTGGATTTTTCAAAATTTCTAACTCAGCATGCCCCCTTAAACTATCGTATAGTAATCGGGCAACGGTTCGTCGTCGATTTGGTCCGTAGTGTACATGCGCAGGATTTCTATAGGGGTAGAGCAGAAAGACAGAAGTAGAGACAGATGAGCCACTCAGAAGCCAAAGAATTAACTCCACTTTTTGATATTCTTCTAACTTTAGTATCAAAGCACATGTTCGGTGCTCAATTCTTCATAAGTACAAAAAAATTTCCTAAATTTAATTTGATGGAGTTAGTGGCACTTCGGCTTCTGAGTGGCTCGGATGAAGATAGAGATAGAGAAAGTCCCGAAAACGAAAAATTCGTAGATAACAGGGCCGTTCGTCCTCGTACAAATCTGGATGCCTCGTACAAATCTGGAAGCTAAGGCTTCTCAAGTACGAACGACAAGATTCTAAATATTCGAAAAACCAAGGAACGGAAACTGAAAAATCTGAACAAGTTGGAAAAGAGAAAGTTGAGCAGGAGAATAGAAAAAGGTTTTGGATAAAAAAGTCAGAGTATGCATGTTATTAACCCTTCGACTCCTATCGGCGCCTATAGACGCTCAGTGATAATCGAACTCTGAATACTATCAACGCTCTTGATGTTCATATTCTATATTTTATGTTCATACGTTATCTATTTTACAGATATATACAATAGAAAATATTCAGCAAAAAAGTGATTGATTATCCAATACTTTACTTGCAAGCTGCCAGCAGTCAAAAGGTTAAAAACGCATTCGATATTAACCATGCGCCAATTCGTACTGTGTTATTAAAACAAAATAAGGTTGCTGATGTTCTGCTGGAACAACATAGAGGAGAGAAACATGGTAAACAAAAGATAGTGGACGACAGTGTCAGAGAAGGAATCAGGCAGCATATCGAATTGATTCCGAAAATAGGACAATTTCCAACATTCATAAAGATTATGTGGCTAATTGTAAGGTAAGAAATGTTCCATTTGCAAACTATGTACCATTTTATCGAGTATTTGCACAAAAATTTAATATTTCCTTTTTTGTGCCAGAAAAAGATTTATGCGATGTCTGCATCACTTTCGATAATGCAAAGGAGGAGGAAAAAGACGGATTGAAATGAAATTATGATCCACTAAATGAATTTAGTGGAAAAAGAATCATCAAGAAATAAGAAGAAAGCGGACGAGGAAAAATCTGATACAATAATAACTGTCTATAATTTGCAAACAGTAATGCAATTGTCGAAAAGAGACGTGTCGGTCTTTTCTTATAAATGGTCACAGAGACGTTATCGAGTTGGCAACTTGTATATTTGAGTGTTTGAAACGGATAGGTGTCGAGTATATCGATAAAGAAATAATGTTCTACTCGAATAATTGTACAGGACAGCAGAAGAATAAATTTACGATTAGTTTATACCAGCGCTTGGCAAGGGTGTAAGGTGATTTCGCGTCTTTTCTTTCAATCACGTTCCGTTGGAAAAAATTGCCATAACACTTTAACCAATTAATATTTTTCAATGAAATTTTGAGGAAAGTGATAAAACGTGTACGATTGTTTTAATTCGTGAAACATCTGTTATGGTTTTTCTGAAGAGAAATTGAACCATTTATAGCGTTTTATACATTTATTCTGAGACGGATACGTGAAAACCTCAATGACGTGTTTCCGGGTGATCCGAACTCGAGTCAAGAACCTGAATGACACATATGTGCGTCAGCCGATGTTAATGTGTTAATATAAAAACAATTACGCACAAATACCCGATAAAGAGCCACACGCAGAACAGAGGAGACTCGACTCACTCTTTGATCGAAAGACAAAGGAAAACCAATTAAAATATGGCCCTATGTACACCTCAGA